AGCCAAGTGTGTTAAGCATTTGCACCATGTGGGGCCTGCAACAGTATTTACCCTGCTCTCTCTCTTTATTTTTTTTCCCCCATAAGGTAACTATTATCTTCTAGCATATCATATAAGTTACTAATTTATTCTAATTATTTATTGTCTGACTTTTTTTTTTTTTTTTTTGGTTCTCCCCAGCATCTGTAATCGTTTCTGGCACAAAGTAGCTACTCAGCATAATACAAATATTTGATGAAAAATGAATGAATAAGGTGAATAGCTAAATATATGATCATCACAGCCCACATGGGAGACTGACATTTGTCACCTGGTGATGCAGGCTCCATCCATGTCACCTCTCTCTGACCTGGATTTTCTCCACAGCTGTCTTGCTGACAGTGTGCTGCATGAGGAGGAAGAAGAAGACAGCCAACCCAGAGAACAATCTGAGCTACTGGAATAACGCCATCACTATGGACTACTTCAACAAGCATGCTGTGGAGTTACCAAGGGAGATCCAATCCCTTGAAACCTCTGAGGTAATGAGTTCCCCAGAAGTACTGGGCCATGCAGGGGGTGGGAGTGAAACAGGCCACAAAGACAGCCATGAAGCATCTTCTCTTTTCTTGGACCTTGCTACTCAACTGTGGACTAGCAGTATGAGCAACACTAGGAGGTTGCAGGCTCCAAACCTGCCCTCCTGACTCCCAAAAGCCAGAATCTGCATTTTAGGAGGAATCCCCAGGGCTTTCTGTGCATGTTAAAGTTTGGGAAGCACCATTCATGGGACTTTTGGTTTCTGGAAACAAATCAACAAATATTTATTGAGGACCCATTTTATGGCAGATACTGTCTGGAGGCTATGAAAATGAGAGCTTGCTCTCAAGCTCAGATTCCAAGATAGGGTAGGGGAATGACTCCCAAGTATCAGTCAAAAACAAACTAAGGAAGATGCAAGAAGAGTTACAAAAAGCTATTGAAACTCGGGAAAGGAAGTAGTTAATTATGATTGGGCTAATCTGGGAAGCCTGCACAGTGGAAGTACTAGGAAAAATAAACAGATGTTCAACAGGAAGATAAGGCAGTGCATTTCAGACAAAGCCTGAGTGAAGATGGGCATTGTGCTGGGCTCCATGCCCATCAAGAGAGAGAAGAATATAGTGGGTCTGGGGGTATTTGCCAAAGACACCAGGCTGGCCAGTGAGAGAGCTGGGCTTTGAACCCAGGTCTCTCTGACCACAGAGTCTGCTCCTTTTACTCTCACACAAAGGGTGGGGCCAAGTGGGGCAGGAAAGGTAGATGGAGGCCAGGTTAAGCACAGCTTTGAATGGGGTATGATGGAGTTTGGACTTTATTTTTAGGAAGCAGAGGATCGTTGAAAGTTTTGAGCTATTGGGTGATCAATGAATGGGTAACAAAGGAAAGGAAGGGTGAGTGGATGAATGGGTGGAAGTACAAAAAGGCAGAGTAGAAATGGGTATGTCAACAAGGGTGCAATTGAGATGGCCCAGGAGAAAGATGGTGGACATTTGAATAAAGACAGTGAGAGTGGACAAGCATGTTCTCCAGGAGGTACAGCCTCCCTCTGCCCCTGAAGATCCATTCCCCACATCAACAGATGCTGATCTTTCGTGAACATAAATGTGGTCATATCACTCCCATGTTCAAAACCCTTCATTAGCTCCCCATTGCTTTTTTACAGGGACTATGAGGTACCACAAGACCTGCCCCTGGCCCAGGCCCAACTCTCCAGCCTCATGCCCCTTTCCTCCTCATTTGCTAAGCTCCAACCACATTGGATTTCTTTTTGTTCCTTAATGGCATCAAGTTATGTTCCACTCCACACCTGTGCATGAGCTCTGCCCTCTCCTAGAATGTTCTGCCCCTCCCTCTCCCCAGAATCCCATTCTGTTGTTCACCTCTATAACTCCTACCCATCACTGGGGGCCCAGTTTAAATGTCACCTCCTCAGGGAACTCTTCCCTGATCTGCAGTCTGGGTTCATTCTGCTATCATATATTCTCATCTCCTTGTGCATTCCCATCCTGGCACTTATTACTGTTGTAATCAGGTAGCATCTGGTCTGATATTTGTTTAATATCTCTCCACCATTAGAATAGCCAGTTGCCTCCACATTACTAAACCGATTCTAAGCACTCATATTACTCAATCTCCCAACAGCTGTGGAACAGTTGATCATTTCTTCTTAGAATGTCTCTTCTCTGGCATGTGAGGTCCCATACTCTGCTTCCTTCCAGTGCCCTCTCAGTCTCCATGATTGATCCTTTGTCCTTTTCCTGACTTCTCATCAGGCACACCTGGGCTCAGTCCTTCCACTGATTCTCTTCTCTTTCAACTTAGCTCCATGGCTTTTAATTCCACCTCTATACTGTGGACTCTCAAATTCCTATCTCTGGCCTTGATATCTTCCCTTAACTCCAGACCCATATGCCCAACTGTCTGCTGCACATATCTGATGGGCATCTCAAACTCAACATGTCCAAGATGGAACTTTTGATTTCCCCCTCCCTGCTCCCAAATCATCACTGGTGACTGGAAAGCAAAAGTTGGAAACAAAGAAGAATCACCGGTAGTTGGAAAATTTGGCCTCAGTGACAGAAAAAACACTGGAGATCACATAATAGAATTTTGCAAGACCAACGACATTCTTTTCAACAACACAAATGGCAGCTATACACGTGGACTTCACCAGATGGAATACACAGGAATCAGATTGACTACATTTGTGGCAAGAGATGATGAAAAAGTTCAATATCTTCAGCCAAAACTAAACCAGGAGCTGATTGTGGAACAGACCATCAACTGCTCATATGCAAGTTCAACTTGAAGACAATTGAAACAAGTCCATGAGAGCCAAAATATGATCTTGAATTTAGAGACCATCTAAAGAATAGATTTGATGCATTGAATGCCAGTGACCCAAAACCAGAAGAATTGTGGGATGACATCAAGAACATCATCCATGAAGAAAGCAAGAGGTCATTAAAAATTTGAGAAAGAAAAGACCAAAATGGATGTCAGAAGAGGCTCTGAAACTTGCCCTTGAGGGAAGAGTAGCTAAAGCAAATGGAAGAAATGACAAGATAAAAGAGCTGAACACAAGATTTCAAAGAGCAGCTTGAGCAGACAAAGCCAATTACTATAACGAAATGTGCAAAGACCTGGAGTTAGAAAACCAAAAGAGAAGAACATGCTCAGCGTTTCTCAAGCTAAAAGAACTGTGGAAAAAAATGAAGCCTCTAGTAGCAATATTGAAAGATCCTATGGGCAAAATATTGAATGATGCAGGAAGCATCAAAAGAACATGGAAGGAATACAAAGAGTCACTGTACCAAAAAGAACTGGTCAGTCTTCATCCATTTCAGGAGGTGGCATGTGATCAAGAACCAATGATATTGAAGGAAGAATTTGAAGCTGCACTGAAGGAATTGACAAAGAACAAGGCTCCAGGAATTGACAAAATACCCCCTGAGATGTTTCAACAAACAGATGCCCCACTGGAGGCACTCATTCAATTATGCCAAGAGATTTGGAAGACAGCTACCTGGCCAACTGACTAGAAGAGATCCATATTTGTACCCATTCCAAAGAAAGGTGATCCCACAGAATGTGGAAATTATCAAACAATATTATTAATATTGCATGCATGTAAAATCTTACTGAAGAAAATTCAAAAACAGTTGCAGCAGTATATTGGCAGAGAACTTCCCAAAGTGCAAGCTGGATTCAGAAGAGGACGTGGAATGAGGGATATCCTTGCTGATGTCAGATGGATCTTGGCTCAAAGCAAAGAATACCGGAAAGATGTTTACTTGTGTTTTATTGACTATGCAAAAGCATTTGATTGTGTAGATCATAACACATTGTGGATAACATTGAGAAGAATGGGAATTCCAGAACACTTAATTGTACTCATGAGAAACCTGTACATAGACCATTCGAACAGAACAAGGGGACACTGCTTGGTTTAAAATCAAGAAGGGAGTGTGTCAGAGTTGTATACTTTCACCATATTTATTCAATCTATATGCTGAGCAAATCATCTGAGAAGCTGGACTCTATGAAGAAGAACATGGCATCAAGATTGGAGGAAAAATCATTAACAACCTGCGATATGCTGATGACACAACTTTGCTTGCTGAAAGTGAGGATGACTTGAGGCACTTACTGATGAAGACTGAAGAATACTGTCTGCAGTGTGGATTGTATCTCAATATAAAGAAAACAAAAATCCTCACAACTGGACCTATAAGCAGCATCACAATAAATGGAGAAAAAATTGAAGTTGTCAAAGACTTCACACTGCTTGGTTCTATAATCAACACCAATGGAAACAGCAGTCAGGACATCAGGCAATGTATAGCACTGGGCAAGTCAGCTGCAAAAGACCTCTTTCAAGTGCTGAAGAGCAAAGATGTCTCTTGAGGACTAAGGTGCACCTGACACAAGCCATGATATTTTCAGTTGCCTCATATGCATGTGAGAGCTGGACAGTGAATAAGGAAGACCAAAGAAGAATTGATGCCTTTGAGTTGTGGTGCTGGCGAAGAATGCTGAAAGTACCATGGACTGCTAAAAGAACTAACAGATCTGTCCTGGAGGAAGTGCAGCCAGAATGCTCCTTGGAAGCAAGAATGGCCAGACTTCGTCTCACCTATTTTGGTCATGTTGTAAGAAGGGACCATTCCCTGGAGAAGGATGTCATGCTTGGTAAGGTGGAGGGTCAACCAAAGAGGGGAATGCCCCCAATGAGATGGATTGACACAGTGGCTGCAGCAATGGTCTCAAGTATAGCAGGGATTGTGGAGCTGGCACGGGACCAGGTGGTGTTTTGTTCTGCTCATAGGGTCTCTGTGAGTCAGAGATGACTCACTGGCACCTAACAACAACAAACACCCAAACCCAAAATCTTACCTGGTGTTCCTCGGTTAAGTGCATAACACTCCCATTCCCTTTTTCCTTTCACACCATATCTAGTCTGTGAGCAACTCCCATTGCTTCTTCCTTCATAGGTCCTAAGTACAAGCACTTCTCACCACCTGCACTGCTGCCACCCTCATCGAAGCCACCAGCATCTTTCAAATTGTGAAATGCTGCACAAAACAGGCCTCCCCACTACCACCTGGTCTTCTTCAATCAATCATTCATCCCCACAGTAGCATGAATGATCTTTTCAAGGCAGGACATCATGTATGGCTCCCAACCCTCAAGCAGCTTCTCTTCACACTTTGAATAAAATCTAGCCACCTCTTACCACATCCTCCATGATCTGGTGCCAGCCTACCTCCCTGACCCCTCTCCTACCACACTTCCTATTGACTACACACACCAGCCACACTGACGTTTCTGCTGTTCCCCTGATAGCATAAGCTTGTTCCTACCTTACAACTATGCTCTAGCACCTATCTGAAATGCTTTTCTCCTAGAGGCCTCTATGACTTCAACACCAACTACCCAGAGTCAGGCCAGACTTGACAAGGTCAGGGCATACTCTTTCACAAGACTGCCCTGACTTCAGACACCAACCACAAGCCCAGGAGTTCCCAGACCACCCTGACTGCTAACCAGCTGGCTACAAATTCAGAATTTCCACTCCTCGGTTTGGATGATTTGCTGGGCTAACTCACAGAATTCAGGAAAACACTATACTTATGATAACAGTTTTATTAAAGCAAACAGATACAGATGAGGACCAGCCAAAGGGAGAGACCCATGAATGGGTCCCAAAAAAGACTGCTGCTCTTGTCCTCAGAGATGCTTCACCCTCCTGGCATGCTAATATATGACAATACACAGAATATTGTTAAAATCAGACCAAACACGTGTCCCTGCCCAGTGCACAGTGAGGCCAAAACAGTTTACACACCGAGTGATTAAGAGGAGAGAAAATTATTTATTGCAGAGAGGCAATGCAAAGAGACAGAGGCTGTACCCAAATCTGACTCCCCGAATCTAAATTGAATTACAGTTGCTGTAAATTTCAGGAGAGAAGGTTATGCATATTCATAAAAATTCTAGGAATTTGGGCGTGAAATAGTTGATGATTGGCTGAAATTTCCTTTGCCTCAGTTTAAAGGGACAGTCACATACCAGATAAGTCACACCAGCTCCCTGTCATCAACTGATCAGGGCTTAGGGAGAGGGGAGAATGTCAGTTCCCAGCAACTTTGTTCCTGTTTGTCTCACTGCACGTGTCCACGGTCAAGGTTAATTTTCAAGTAGTCCCCTGAAACACATTAATATACTTATCACCTGTTTCTAGGGGGTAACATGGAGACAATGTGTAAATTGACCTTTCCTTCCATTCAGTTCTTAAGGAACTGAGTTATCATGTTTACTTATCTGCCTCCAACTAAGGTCCTATCTGTCTTAACCAGAGTGTGGGTAATAGTTGAGCTTTCATTCTATTCAGTTCCTAAGAAACTGAGTTATCTATTTACTTATCTGCCTTCAACTGGGGATGCAGGCTGAACTTTGACTCCACCCAGTTATACTGTGAACCAGGGAAGCTCATCCAAGTCTCAGTGTCCATAGGTTTTATTGAGGCTTCATTACATGGACTGATTGACTGAATCACTGACCATGTGATTAAAATCTGTCTGGAGCCTTCCCTCCCCTCCCTGAAGGTCAGGAGGATACCATCACCAGAGCTTCAGCTTTCTGATCACATGGTTAGCCTTATTAGCATGGCCAGCCCCATCCTGCATTACCTTATTAGCATAAAATTTCCACTAGCCCACCATTTGTCACCTTATTAGCATCAACTGTCAGGTGTGGCTTAAGGGGCTTGCTGTAAATAATAAAGATACTCAAGTCACTCAGGAAATTAAAAGGGTTTAGAGACTACCTCTCAGGAGCCAGGATCAGAAGCCAACCTAATTCTTTATTACATGTTGGTTGTTGTTGTTATGTGCCGTCGAGTCGGGCCCGACTCATAGCGACCCCTCCTTGGGTTTCCGAGGCAGTATCACTACGGAAGTAGGATTGCCCAACCTTCCTTCTGAGGAGTGGCTGGTGGTTTGAACCACCAGCCTTCTGGTTAGCAGTCAAGTGCCTTAGCCACTATGCTACCAGAGCTCCCTCTTTATTACATACTTCCCTTTAAATCTTTGTTCAAATGCCACTTCCTCACAGAGACCCTCTCTGACTGCTCCATACAAGTTTGAATACTCCTCACTCCCTTATTAGGAGCTCTGGTAGCATAGTGCCTAAGGTACTTGACGGCTAACCAGAAGGCTGGTGATTCAAACCCACCAGCCACTCCTCGGAAGGAAGATGGGGCAATCTGCATCCATAGTGATACTGCCTCAGCAACCCAGGGGTTGCTATGAGTCGGGTCCGACTGGACGGCACATAACAACAACACTCCCTTATTGGTCTCTTTTCATGCTTTATTTTTCTTCACTATGTTTTCACCATCTGGCACAGCATTATTCTTTCTCTGTTGACTGGTTTATTGTCTCTCCCTGCTAGAATATAAGAGGCCTGCAGGCAGGAACCTCTTTTGTTTTGTTTACTGTTCTATAGCAGCACCTAGATCAATGCCTAGTACATGGTAGGTACTTGGTAAAATGTTTATAAATCGTGTTTACTCTGATTTAGCCTAACACAGTAGATGTTCAATAAAATTTTTGACCTAAGGACAAACAAACAGACAGGCTTTTGTGCAGCAGTTGCATGTCTTACATGGCAAAAAGTTTTCCTGTGAGCTGCTATGGTGAATGAAAGAAACGGTAACTTTGCAAAGGGGCTAGCCCCACTTTAAGTGTTACTCTTGCAAAGTGATTAATGAAAACCAAAGCCAAAGGATAGTGCTTGTGAGTGCACTATAGAAAAAGCCTGCTCCTGCAGTGTCCGGATTAGACTGGAAGCAGGACACCCTGGGAGAGCAGCTTGTCCTGGGAGAGCAGCACACAAACCCGTCGTGTGGTCATCACAGAGCCAGCAGCCCAGAACTCAGCTCAGCTGCCGACTTGGTTGTATTTCTGTTCCCTTTCCAGCAGGTTTACTCCCCTCATTCTGTTTTAGTGACAGAAATATGATAATTTGATCCAACTCTCTGGGCTTGCACTATTTGAGAGTAAAGGCAGCAGCCCAGAAGCATGCCCAGAGCCAGGATGGAGAGAGCTGGCACTCCCGTGGACTGCAAACCATCCACAGAGTGATCGTATGGTCACAGACCATGTTCCACCATATTCTGCAACCATGGGACATGTACTACTTAGTGCCTGTCCCTTAGCCACCAACTTTTGAGGCTGCCAAGTGCTTTGCCTAAGCAGATTTCTCTGATACCCTGCTTCCCTTCAATGGTGATGAAAGCAGCAAAACGTGAATCTGGGACTGTGTAGGCAAAATTGTGCTGCCCAAAAGGGATTTGTAAATGTGCGTTCCTTCTTTCTGCTTTTTCCTCCACTTCCTCTTTGTTATGCCTCCCTTTCTCCCCTCTGCCTTTCCTTCTTCCTCCTCCTTTCTTCTTCTTTCTTGCCTTCATTAATCCAAATATTTTCTTTTTGTGCAATAAAACCACCCCACGTGGCTTGCCTCTGGTGAACGCTCACTTGTGAGACCTGGGAAACAACAAGCCAGATCTCAGCCCCAGAGTTGCCCTCCATGGCTCACTCCAAAAGCCCAGTGCGGAAGAAGGATTTGTGTCCCCTGTAAACAGTGGCCTTTCTCTTATTAACCATCGAGCAATGCATAACCCTCAAAAATTGTGTATTGAATGTGTTTTGTTTAAAAATAGCCTTGAGAGAATTCATTGTGGCTTCTTAAAATGAAGACATTACTAAGCAAGTCTGGCATAAGTCAGTTATGCTTAGACCTGTTGTTGAATCTTTGGCCTGGAATGACATGTAAGTTATGAAATTTTATCTGTTAAGAATCAGGACAAGGTCTAACCTCCCCCCCCCCCACATTAAAACCTGGACCTGAATATGAGTGCAGCCATATAGTGGCCAGCAAATGCTGATGTCCTTGGTAGTTGTGACCAGAACCCTGCCAGAGCCATTCAGATGCCTCTGAGGTTGAGCAGGCAGGCTGAATGTTTCTCTACCCACCTACTGTGCCATCACACACAGACACAGATCTGCTGGGCTCAGCACATCTGCTTGGCTCACATGTATAAGAAATGGGCCGCAATTGGGAGCAGGCTTTGGGAGGATTCCACAGTAGGGAGAATTAGCCCTTAGTGACTCGAATTCTGACAGGTAGGTGGCAGGAGAGGACAGAGGGGCTAGAATAGTATGCTCTTCAGGGAGGAACAGCATAGAGGTGTGGCTGGGCCCAGAGATCTGGGAGAGTCAGGAACGGGTGTCTGGGGCCCATGGTGGACCGGATTTGCCCACTGGGACAGTAAGTGAGCACCATGCACGCCATAGTGAGCCATCTCAGACTTTGACCAAGAGAGCAGTGCCTTCTCTAGCAGCCTGGGCTGAAGGTGATTCAGGAAACAGGAAAGCTCTTTAGAAAGCTGCTATAAAAATATGAAAGAGCAAAGAGGGCTCTGCACCTCTGCCATGGCAGCGGGGGATGATGAAAAAGGTTTACCAAGCAGTTCCATGCCGGGATCTGAAATACATGTGCCCATGTGCCCATTTCTTTAATAATGGCCACCTCGTGAGCCCACCCCAGCTCACACCATCTTCTCTCTCTCTCTCTCTCTCTCTCTCTCTCTCTCTCTCTCTCTCCAGGACCAGCTCTCAGAGCCCCGCTCCCCAGCCAATGGCGACTACAGGGACACTGGGATGGTCCTTGTGAACCCCTTCTGTCAAGAAACACTATTTGTGGGAAACGATCAAGTGTCTGAGATCTGACTGCAGCAACCCTCACTTTGCTGTTCCCTACTTTTCATCTATAAATTATAAATATACAAATATATATTATAAATATATCCTTTGTGTAACCCAGACTTAATGAGAAACATTTTCAGCTTTTTTTTTTCCTAAAAATTGTCAACATCTTTTTTATAAGTGTGGTTTAAAGAAACTTTACAGAATGATTCGTGGCTTTATAAAATAAAGGTATTTCTAAGCAAAGCAGTTGCATTGATTGCTTCTCTTGATAACAGTCCTTGAGCACCGGGGGTCCCAAGGGCCCAGGCAGGTGAGGTGAGAGACTGGCCTTCTCCTGTGGAAATTGAAATCCAAGCTGAATGTTAAAATGGTCAAGTGTGTGGGCTATTGAGTGGTTCTTGCTGATTCCTCATGATTTGATGTGACCTATTTCCTCCCCCTTCAAATGCACAGCAGTGGAGGACCTGGGCCACCAAGGACAGGATGGGAGAGTCATGTACAAAGCAGGAAAGGGGAACACACCTCATCACCCCAGAAGACCAGTGCTCTGGAGCCTCACAATGGCACCAACGGCTGTCACATGTAATTCCAGCCAGGTTACCAGAAGCAGGCAAGAGGGGACAGCCCTCAGGAATTGCATGGAGAACATCAAGGTGCCACACGGCCATGTCCCCTAGCATGACACAACAGGGTCTCCCAGGGCAGCCATTGTGAGCTTCCATTGTGCTAACTATGGCACCACCTTTCCCTGGTGGAAAAGTCTTCCCTGTCAGCTCGTTCCTGCTTCCTCTCCACCATCCACATCTGCATTCAACCCTCGTGCCTTTTCCTCGAGAGGAGTTAGTTGCAGATCCCAGCCCACCAGCTTCCACGTGCTTACCCTTTGTCGAGAAGCAAACGTTTATTGAGGTTTCAGGGTTTATTTCTTTTCTCAAAAGGCAGTCTTACTGTGTCCCTTTAGACATGTTTGGGGGAAGTCTGTAATTTCAGAAACCTTCCTCCTGTGATCTTAAATATCCAAGATTGCCAAAGTGAATTGCTTGGGAGAAGACTCCAATATATCTGGACCGACTGGTGGGGTCCGCACATCGACTGGCCATCCATCTGTATATTTTCTCAATGCCGCTAGTCTCTGTCAGGGGTCAGCTGGCTGCATTTCCTACCCAGCATTGCATACAGCAGAGCCAACAGGGGTCAGACCCTCAGAGGCACAAAAAGGATTCCCAGAGATGGGCTGCTCGTCTGTTGTTTTTGCCAATAGATGGGCTGGGAGAGAAGATAACTGCTTTGACACTTCCTTTCTCTAAAAGAAAAATAGTTTAATAGTATATTTTGAATATAGATGCTATTATAGTCAGACTGGGAATTGAACTTGAATGTTGACTCATTTTAGTGTTGCTGTGGTCTTTTATCATGACTTTTTTCTTTATCTCTACCTTTTCCCTTAAAAAAAAAAAAAAAGCCTTCAAAAGTAAGTGTTCTCAATGTTGTATGAACTGCATAACCCGCATTCAGTTTGTCTCTCTTCAAAGACTCTTTGACCCACAAAGAAGCAGGTGAACTGTTGCTCTGAGATTGATTTTCTAACATGTCTGACCTTTCTGACTTTATCATAATACTTCTGTTAGCTATTGCATTTAACATGTCAGTGTGTGTGCGTGTGTGTATATGTAAAGAGAAATCTGTTTGTAAAGTAAAATTATATATAATATATGTAATCAAAGATACATATGTTATATATACTTATGTGGATGTATGACTTATTTTTCCTTATCCACAGAATTCAGCTACCATGTATATATAAATAAACTTATTTTATTAGCCAGAGTATTAAGTTACTAATATATTTTGTGTTCTTTTCATTTTAAAGTAATTTCCTTAAGCGATACCAATACCACCTTACACCCATCTCTATTTTTTTAATGTGATTTAACAGCAAATTGGGTTTTATGGGCATGATGAGTTAGTAGGATTAGCACCTTATCACTTGATAAAACAAATCCTTTAGAATATATTTGTGATTTCTCCAAAAAAGAATCATCTCTGTTAGGGCTTTGAAGACATTGGCATCAGTTAAGGCAGGCCCCCTCCTCACTCTGCCCTCCCAGGGCTCTGTAGAGTTATTATAAACATCCTTAGAGCAGAAGAATCTCAAGTTAACCAGCCACTGAGGGTTGTTCACTGTAGAGAAGAACAATGCCTAGACATGTCACCTTTGCAAACAACTTAATCCATGCCTTGGACCCTTCATTTAACCTTGAATGATACATCCTGGAATTCACAAGACTGAGATCCTTGGGCCAATCAGTATCACCTACAGTGTTGTTGAGTGTCATAGTCTATTCCAACTCCTAGCAAACCCACGTGACAGAACAGAACTGCCGGTAGGGTTTTCTTGACTATAACCTTGATGAAAACAGATCAACAGGTCTTTCTGCCCATGAAGCTGCTGGGTGAATTCAAACCACCAACCTTTTGGTTAGCAGTCAAGTGCTTAACTGTTGAACCAGCAGGGCTTCTTATCACTAACACTACCCACTGCCATTGAGTCAATTCCAACTCATAGCAACCTCCACTGGGTTTCCAAGGCAGAAAATCTTTACAGAAGTAGATTGCCCCATCTTCCTTCCATGGAGAAGCTGGTGGGTTTGACCCACCAACCTTCTGGTTAGCAGACAAATGCCTTAGGCACTGCACCACTAGAGCTCCTATCAATCACTAAAACTAACCAAACTTAGTGTCGTCGAGTTAATTTGACTCACACTAACCAAAAAAAAACCTCACTGATGACGAGTCAATTCAATGACTCCTTAGGTTTCCAAGGTGGTATCTCTATGGAAGTAGATCATCCAGTCTTCCTTCTGAGGAGTGGCTGGTGGGTTTGAACTGCCAGCCTTCTGTTTAGCAGTCAGATGCCTTAGGCACTACACCACCAGAGCTCACTAACACTGTTGCTGTTGTTTGCCATCGAGTCAGACCCAACTCATAGTGACCCCTCCTTGGGTTTCTGAGGCAGTATTACTACGGAAGTAGATTGCCCCATCTTCCTTCCAAGGAGTGGCTGGTGAGTTTGAACTGTCAGCCTTCTGGTTAGCAGTCAAGTACCTTAGGCACTATGCTACCAGAGCTCCTAGGAGGATGTTATTACACAGTCTTACGTGTACTATAACTCTTCAAGGGCATCACAGCAAGATTGCCACATCTAAATAAAGGATACCACTAGTCTTTTGATCAAGTCTTTATCTGTTAATCAAAGAACCAACACTGATAATTATAAAATACCTTTTGTGCCATCTCAAATAAATGAAGTAAAAGAACAAAAAAAAAAGCAGGAGCATTGTGGCATCCTAATCAGCAGCAAGGAAGAGCACACAGGATATTCTTGTAGGGGAGCAGGGTTTCTAACTGCCTACGGTGCCTTGGAAACCCAAGGAGGGGTCACTATGAGACCAACAACAACAACACAGGGCCCTGCTAGGTGACCTGCTCCAGTGGTGGAAAACAGGGCCTGGGTAAGTCACTGGACTAGGATAGGAGTCAGAAGAGGCAGCTCTGCTCCTTTCTGCATATAACACCTTGGGCCAGTCTTTGCAGCTCTCAGGAATAATAGCCAAATGTAGGGCATGTGATGACACTTCCATAGTTGTGCAGTGCACCCCCTGGATGGCAATATATATCAATCCTGTACCTACCTTCTGAAGTTGAATTGAGAAGTCAATGAAATGAAGTCTGGAAGGCACACACTGGGGTGGATTCAGTACGCACTAGAAACCTGCTCCCTTCCCCTTCTCTAACTTAAAATCTGTTCCCACATTGCAGGATCTGGGATAAATATTCTACTCTGGGTTTTGGTTACCTGCTTTCTCCAGAGTGAAACTAAGTATGGTAGGTTTAGGTCCAGACTGTCATGCCCTGGGGTTGGGAACTCCTTTCTGGCCCTGGAGAAGTGACTGAGGGCTGACCCATGACAGCATGCTTCAATGGATGACTGTAACTTGGAGCTAACTGGAACACTGCTCTCCTTGTTTTTATTTGTTTTCCAACAGATGAAGAAACAGAGATCTGGAGAACATCTGTAGCATAATTAGTGCCCAAGGTCCATTACCTAGTGTATCAGAGCAAGCCCAGGCCAGTGTGTAGAGAGGAAGGGCCAGAGAGGTGAAGCAGCTTGGCCAAGGCCAGGCAGCTGGTGAACAGCAGAGCTGGAGCCCACCCAGCTTGGTGGAACCTCCACCATCCCAGACTCTCTCTGAGGACATCTCCTATCTCTGAAAGACTCACCTAAAGACAAGCCTGCCCACCCTGCCCCCAAGAAGGGATGTTTGGGGACAGAGATAATGGAAGAAAGAAGTTAGAAAGGGACCTGAAGCTGCTTCCAGGATTAAGGATGAAGGAAGGAACAGGCTGAGTTGGTTTCTCCTGAGCCCTCAGAGCTGCCTTCCTCCACACTGGTTTACATCCATTTTCATCCTCTATGACCTGTGTTGACACAACGTGCACGTTCAGACCACCAGCACAAACAGGGACTGATATGAGGCCTGGAACACCTGAATGGAGTTTTGGCTCAACCACTCACTGTACTCATGAGCTGAGGTTCCTGTACCTCAGTTTACTCATCTGCGAGATGGCTGTTTGAGACCTGCCTTGCCCCCTCTTAGGTAGTGAAAGTCTGTCAACATGTGTGGCCCAATTACACAATCCCAGATAAACCACAACCTGCACTGATCTAGTCTCCCCCCACCCCCACCAGCTGAATGATCTGGGAGGTCAGGCACGTGACCCTGCAGAGAATGCATGAGTGCCTGTCTGCACACAGCCCTGGGCAGGGCCTGTTTCTCTTTCAGCTCAGTGAATGATGGAAACTCATGGAAGTCGCAAACAAAGCAGCCTGGGGGTAGGGGAGTTTCCAGAGAGGCCTATGACCAGGCCACAGGAACACTGGGGCTGGAATCCAAAAGCCACTGAGCTCAGTAAACCCACTGGGCACAGCAGAGGCAGAAGGGGTGATGAGTGAGAGGCAAGTGGTGGTGGATGCACCCACTGGTGCTAGCCCCAGCATGTCCCTCCCAAGGCGCAGGGCATCTTTCAGGGGAGCTCAGTCATCTTCTCTCCTGGAGAGCAACCCGGGCTCTAGGACCAATGTCGGGGATGGCCTGGCCCAATCACCTGTGATCTATATAGGGCCAACACCAGCAGGAGGCATAGGTGGCCAGGGTGCCCGTGTGACCTGCCGGGCCCTGGGCATCAGCAGTATCTTCTTGCAGGGCCTGCAGAGCTCAGGCCTGGCCACTGCACCTGCTCCAGGCCTGGAAGGGGACCATGGTGCTGCTGAGGACTTGAGGGGCTGCCTGGTGGAATACACAGCCAAGGTGCGTACCCTGGAGCAGGTCAGCCGGGAGCTAGAAACGCAACTGCGGATGCACCTGGAGAGCAAGGCCACTGGCTCCCGAAGCTGGGGTGCCCTCAGGGCAGCCTGGACCAGCAGCTGCCAGCAGGTGAGTGCCTGGGCCATACCACATTTGCATAGGGCCTGGAGGGGACACTGAAGTCTGCCTGTTGCCCCATCTCTGGGGGTTATTATCAGATGGCCTAAGTGCTGGGGCAGAGTGCAGGGGAGTAAGTGATCCAAGGCCTGAGAAACTAAGTACAAATCCTTACACTTTCATGCTACAATTATTACTAATGGTAATAACAATAACAATGGCTACCAGTTACCGAGGTTCACTGGGGGCCAGGCCCACACTAGTTCCTGTATGTGTGCTCTCTGCTGCGTGTTCGCAAACACTGTGGGCAGTGGGTCTGGCGTGGCCCGCATTTTTCAGATGAGAAAACTGAGGCTCAAAGAGTTTGCCTAAGATCACACAGTTCATAGGGAGTTGGAGCTGATATTGGAAACTAAAATTTTCTATCTTCAGAGCTTGCACTTGTCCCATTATCCTGGGCTACCTCTGTCAGCCTTTATTGTAGAGAAAGGATTTTTACAGCCATCACCAAATACAATGCCACCAAATGGATGTGGCATTAAAAACAGTGGAAAAATGGAGCTGTGTTCCTGTGTTCACATTTAACAGTGTCGTCAAATAGAAATGTAATACGAGCCACAGAGATAATTTCTAAGTTTCCATTGGTGGTGTAGGATCTCTGGTGGCATAGTACCTAAGGCATTTGACTGGCAGTTCAAATCCACCAGCCACTCCTCAGAAGGAAGACTGGGCAATCTACTTCTGTACTGATACCGCCTCAGAAACCCAAGGAGGGGTCACTATGAGTCAGATTGGACTCCACAGCAGTGAGTTTGGCTTTATTATCCACAGTAAAATAATAATAAAAAAAAAAGTAAAAAGAAACAGATTAAATTAATTTTAACTTTATATCCTATTTAAGTCAATATATCCATCATGTTTTCATTTCAACATGTAATCAAAATGACAGAATTATTAATGAGATAGTTTAAGGTCCCTGAGTGGTGCAGTTAGCCCTCAACTACCAACCAATCAATCGGTTGCCAATTTGAACCCACCCAGCAGCTCCATAGAAGAAAGGTCTGGGAGTCTTCTGTAAGATTAAACCGTTGCCGTCTAATGGATTCCGACTCATAGTGACCCTATAGCACAGAGTAGAACTGCCCCACAGGGTTTCCAAGGCCGTATAATCTTACAGAAGCAGACTTCTATGTCCTTCCACAGAGCAGCTGCTGGGTTTCAACCACTGACCTTTCAGTTAGCAACCGAGCACTTAACCACTGCATCACTGGACTCCTTCTCCGTAACAGTAAGCCATTGAAAACCCTGTGGAGTGCAATTCTACTTTGAAACATGGGGAATCGATTCCACAGCAATGGGTTACATTCATACAGAACTTTCTGTAAGGATGGAAATGTTCCATATCTGGTAGCCACTAGCTGCTTGTGGCTATTGAGTCCTTGAAATGTAACTAATGCAAATGTGGAGTTGGATTTTTTATTTATTTAATTTTCATTAACTTAAACAGTCACATGTGACTGGTGGCTATTGTAATTGGTCAGAGGAGGAGGAGGAGGTATCACCTTTCTCCCTGTTGTGGCCAGGCCCTGTTTTTCCTGCTCTCCAGGGCAATTCTGCAAAGTGGCAAGCTCATTTGTCATGTCTGGCCAGCAGCCTGTGGTTCAAATGCTGGGGCTTCAGCCAGCATTGCACATCGCATCTGGTCTCTCTGTGGGTGGCGGGCTGGCTTCTTTCCCCATCCAAATGCTGTCCTTGGGGTCCCTCTGAGCTAAATCAGCCTCATACCTCGTCAGGAGTTGCCAGCTCTGCCCTCTTGACCCCAGGGCCCAGCATGCAAACCCCAAGAGGAGGCCACTTATTTGTGTGTGGCTGGGCATTGCTGAGCAGTTACACACAGGGATGCCCTATCGGCCTTTCTGCCTCCTGTCTCAGCCCCAACATCCTTCCTTGTCAGAGCCAGGCTGACAGCACAGCCACTTGATCTACAACACGGTCCTCTCAGGCCTTCTCCCCCGGTGCTACTGTTCCATTCACTTCCATCTGGGCTGTGAGGGAGAGCCATCTCACAGCAGGCCAAGGCTCCTAAATCCTGTCAAATCTAAGAGGCAGCCGTTCCTCCAGCATGTTCCCCAACAGTCCTGGTGTCAAATATTTATGGCTCATAAACCACTGGACTGTTCCTAAATGTTCTAGTATTTCAGCACCTGCTGGATGATTTCGTGTACCCAGATGCCACACAGACTCTTCATGAGAAATCAGGCATCCCAGTTTCTAGATCAAAAAATATGGACACAAAATTTAGTCCATTTTCTATAGATAATGATTTGCTCTGGCTCCAGCTAGGTACAGGGGCTAGGACAACTTACTCTACTTCTCTGGGCCTCAGTTTTCTGTGAAAATGCCTTAGATATTCCAGCAAATCCATAGATAAATAAGTTGCATCGTTCCTGCTTGCAGGTAGACTACAGGCTGTTGTTGTGCTTGTGCACTGGTGAGTAGATTCTCACTTATGGCGACCCCACAGTACAGAGTACAACTGTACCCTCACTTAGACTTCTTCCCATGGAAGATAATCTTTCCAAACTCTTACCCCTTAGACTTCCTTGCTCTTTACAGCACTCCCTCATTCCTTCCCCTTGGCAGCCTTTTTACTCCATCTGCAATCCCCTCCTCCCCTTCCATCAGGCAGAACTCTTCATCCTTCAAGTACAGTTCCAATGGCACCTTCTCCGTGAAGCTCTCCTTGATTTTCTTTGGCTCCTCAGGCCCAGCCATGGTGCCTGAGGTCTCAAAGCATGCTCTCAATAGTAAATCTTAAAAGCCTTTGGACACCTAGAGAGAAATTCCACCCCCTCCTTAACCCAGGCCCCAAACAGAGAATCCCAGAAGGGCATCAACCAAGAGCAGGTTGGGCTGGGAAATTCATTTCAGTGGCACTTTCTCAGATCAGGCTGGGGGAGGCAGTGGGATATTCAGAGCAAATGACAAGCATAAATTCCTTTTATGTCTGACATGTTTGTAGATGTTTGAGAACAGAACCTGCTTTCAGAGAGAAAAAAGGATTGGGAAGGAGACAGGCTCTGCCCTCCCAGTTACATTCAGAAAGCTTCTAGGGCCATTCCAGATGCAGGCGGGGCTCTGCCCTGTGATCTATCCATAGCCTCCCCATCTCCACCATGAACTGTTACCCACCAATTGTGAGGAGACAAAGACAGGTGTTTTGGTTATTTTGTGCTGCTCTAATAGAAATACCACAGGTGGATGGCTTTAACAAACAGGAGTTTATTTTCTTACAGTTTTGGAGGCTAGAAGTTCGAGTTCAAAGTCCCAAGTTCTAGGGACAGTGTGAAGGCCCCTTGACTTTGGGCTTCATTCAGCTCTGTCTCTTGTTTCTAGCCCACTGGAGCTGGAAGCTTTTCTTCACTCCAGCAGCTGCTGGCTACTGAGGCTGACAAACACAAGGTCAACAAGTAAAATGGCACAGTCCCAAGATTACCAAACAACATGGCAGGCCACTAGTTCAAGTCCAGAGACAGTCCCAAGATCAGCAGGAAACATGGCAGGCTGCTGAATGAAGACTTGGCTACATGCAGTGTCCAAGCATGCCATAAAGCTGCAGAGACCTTTCTCAACACTTCTCCTTACATACTGGAAGCAGACCACATTCCTAAGGCAGCTACTCAGCTGCTCCAGTAGATTCCCCCATGGAGTTGATTACCAATCTCATCATGGGGAATAACTACCTCCAGCTGCCCAGCCACTCAAAACCAGGCCCAGACAAGGTGACACACAACTTAGCTACCACAATCAAACCAAACAAACCAAACTCACTGCCACTGAGTCAGATCCGACTCATAGCGACCCCTCCTTGGGTTTCTGAGGCAGTGTCTCTATGGAAGTAGATCACCCCATCTTCCTTCCGAGGAGTGGCTGGTGGGTTTGAACTACCAGCCTTCTGTTTAGCACTCAAATACCTTAGGCACTATGCCACCAGAGCTCCTAACTATCACAACAGGCTTCCAGAAAAACAAGGAAGAGGGGCAAGAAGGGAGAGAAATAAATTACTGCAGCTGTGCAGAAAGGCACACCATGGAAAACAACATAAACCTTGGGGTGAGGGGTAGCCAGGAGGGTTCTCACTGTTACACAATCAGGAAAGCAGGCCTGGGGAAGATACTCCCAACCCTTATTCACTGTATAAGTCTGTGAGCCTTGGAAGACTTAAGGTCAGGACTGGTTCCATGATGTGCTACCAGTGCCATCTCACAGAGCCCACGTGACCCATGCTGGTGTTGTATATTATGGAGTCATTTCTGACTCACAGCAACCCCACGTAACAGAATTGAACTGCCCCATAGGGTTTCCTAGGCTATAGTAGAGTGACTGCTGGGTTCGAACCACCAACCTTTTGGTTAGCAGTGAAGTGCTTAACCATTGCACCATGCTAGGGGTTTAAGCCCTTGCTGTAACAGTTCTGAAATTGTTTGTTCTTTGAGTTTGTGTTTTGTAACTGTCTGATGGGACAATAGAGCATGTGCTCAGGGACATGCAACCTCAGCTCCCACGTGGTTCCACTTCTGTCTGCCTCCCCAGGATTAGTTCTTGGCTGTCCACTACCTCACCCCCTGATGCCCTAGCACCACAGGAACCCCCTCCCCCACTCAGCTATCACTGATGCCCTCCACTCCCAACATGGGCCTGGTCACAAGCCCAGGAAGGGACAGGGTGGCACCTGGGGGTGGGCATGGTGGCAGCAATCCCCACCCTGTGCTGGCAGCACCACCCCTCGGGAGAAAGGAGAACTCCTGACCCAGATACCTACAGCATGGCACAGATGTTGTGATACTCTTGGGGGTCACTTATCTTCCATGAGTTGCAGTGGCAAGTCCACAGGAGGGGAACTGCCTGACTGGACTTCTTTGCCCCCAGCTGGACCTGGCACTTCAATGCGGCAGCTGGGGTGTGGAGGCAGCGTAATCCAGCAGCTCCTGGACCCAAACATGAGCCTGAGT